TTCACTGCCCGGTGGGCTCTTACCTGCAAAGTAGGAGGTGGTGGCGGCTCCTCGCTGCCCTATCTGATGAAACCCTAGTCATAGGGGCCGCCACCCCTCCCTGAGGGAACCCTAATCGCGCGGTGTTACTCGAGAGGATCTGAATGTTTCGAACTTCTGTAGTTTTGAACTCGTGCGGTGCTTCTCAAACTTCTGCAGTCCGGATTCGAACCTCGATCTCTCGAACTTCTTCCAAACTTTCCAGCTTGAATTTTGAACCTGGATCTACTCGAACCCGGACCTTCAAACTTCTCGACCTCAAACTTCTCCAAACTTGTGCAGTCCAGAACTTTTGAACCTTGATCTTAGTGGCCTCAAACTCGACCTCGAACTCAAAAATCTCCAGAACCTAGAAGTACTCCCGAAATTTGAACTCAAAAATCTTTCAAACTTCTACAGTCTCGAACTTCGAAGTACTCCCGAAATTCAAACTCAAAATTCTCTCAAACTTTGAAGAGAAAGAAAAACTGAAGAAACTGTCAGTTGGTTAGCAAAACTGTCAAACTTCTGTCATGAAGTGAGAATAAAAGGCACAATCGTTTGAAACAAAATAGGTGCCGAAAACTGTGATTTCTGTTACAAACTTTGTCACTTTTGCGAGAAAACCATCGCTAAAAGAAATCTTTCAGAAAAAAAAAACTTAAATCTTCAACTTAACTACAAACCCTGAACTTGCCTAACAGAATTACCGTCACTGACATAAAACTGTCAGAGTCTCTGAAAAATATGTCAGTCGACCCTGAACCTGCCTAACAGGAAAACCGTCACTGACAGAATAACATCCGAGACAAAAAATCCGTCAGTGATCTCGACTCTAGTGACACAACCTTACAACACGCATTCCGAATCGAAACAAGGCTCTGATATCATTACTTAACGTAAAACCTGAAACCAAGTACGAATCACATGATACACTCATATAACGTGGTTCACCCTCAAGGGCTACGTCCACGGTTGAAACAAGCGAGCAGATTTACTGACAAGTGAATACACAAATACTTCAGCTTCTTTGAGAAGCCTTGGCTTTGGGGGTATATTTATACCCAAAGCCAGCGACACACATAGCTATAAATAAGCTAGAGCATGTGGTTACTCCTTAACCGGAGTTTACCTCAACAGCTCTATCTTAGTGACACAAAGTTTAATTTCTAAGTAAATCTAAATTTAGGGATCTGACAAACTTAGTCTCAATGGAAATAATCATATATATGTGAATCAACTATCTCTTCATCTTCTCATGTGCTCTGTGTTGGTGATAATATTGTTCATATGCTCATTAAATTGATATCAGAATAACATCATGAAGAGTAGTTTATATTCAAAGGAAGTGAAATTATCACCCTTGAAAGTTCAAGTGATAGAAACAAATATGTTAGTAAATCCATAATGGTGTCTCGTGTAAAGTGTCCATTCATTATTTCTGTTGAGTTTCATGAAGCATTTTATAAAATAACAATTATTGCCGATTTTTGCAGCATATTTACAAAGTGCTGCATGAATCAAGGAAATACAGCTGATCTCTTGGAATTTATAAAAGACAACTACCAGATGTTTGTTTTAGAGAGTTGATTATTCAGAGTGAAAATCATGATTTTATATTTACAAAAAATATCCAATCTTGTATAAACAGCAAAGTGAATTCTTTTATTCATAGAAACCTATACCATATCATTCAATCACAAGAAGTGAAATAAATGGGTGAATGTGATTTGAACTCCTTGTGTCATATGAATAATATATATGTATGTATGTATTTATGTATGTATTTATATTTTACACACACACACAGACGTGTGTGTGTGTAAAATATAAAGATAATTTTCATACTCAAATTGGTATTTTTCAAATGATACTTTTTTTCTCCATGTTGAATACATTTTGAAAAAATGCATACCTTACTCAACCTAAAGATTTAATATATTTCAAACACCAAAGCATCAAAAAAATACTACTTTGATGGAAAAAAGATTTCAAGATAAAATTGAAGTAAGATTTTGTTAATATTAATCGAGATAATTCAGATTGCATTATATCTTACAAAAAAATAGAATTATGAATAATAAGGTAGACCTTTTATACAACACATGTTATTTTATCATAATAGAACACATATTATAATATCACAAATTAAATCTTGAGCTATTCAAGATGTAATTAATTGTTATAAAGTATCTTTAATAAAAGATAAACTTGATTTAATTGTCATATAGATCACCTTTATTATTTTGATAATCGTAATTCATTGTGTTATTATACAAAGATTGAAAATTGTGAATGAAACTTAAGTTATCAATTATACTTATTTTATATGTGATTTTATCTTTTTTTGATATCTAGATAATTTTTATTTGAATTGATTTTTTTCATTTTATTTCCAGAAATTTTCAGTTTTAAATTAAAAAAATTACAAACTCATATCATATAATATATTAATAATAAATATTTTTGGTAATTTATTAAATTTTTAATATATTAATTTAATTTTTTTCAATTAATTTACATTTTTATTATGTTATAGATTATTTGTAGTTTTGGAGACAAAATTTAGGTTTTTGTGAACGTAGACTCACAATGATGAATCATCTATGCATAAATATATGATTAGTTTTTTATGTGTGAAATCTGTTCATAATAGTGTTATGCATTTGCTAGTTCAAATCTTGCATTCTAGGACATTTTTGTATCTCTCACAAAACTTTAAGATCCATGATATTTCACTTATGGAATAAAAAGAGATTGATGATAATTTTCTTGTTTTGATAGTAATAGATGTTAATACTACTCACACTCTTATATATAACACGTATATATATGTTTACGTCGTTCATAGCTAAAAGAATATAAGTTATTGTGCATAATATCAAATACATGAGCTTGTATACACGTTTGTTTTAATAAATTGATACATTTTTTCAATTTTCTTGATTGGAAATTAAGTTTTATATAATTGAAGATTTGTTTTCAAAGTAATTCATATATCTTTGTACTCTATCATGTTAATTTGTCAAGCACAATGTACTTGTTCAAATTCAATTATAGTCAATTTTGTCCAAAAATTTATTGATTCCTTATTTACTTTAGATTTATTCAAAATTTTCATCTTAAATGCAAATTTCATCTAAGTTTTGCATCTGTCAACATACTTTTTCAAAACAAGCATGTCATCCGCACAAATTGAAAATCATAAAATTGAAATTTGACATTATTCATATTTTTCATGTACATACATAGATTATACAAACTTTATCAAAGTTTTTGTGATTCCATGAACTCATCAAACTTTGCATTTCATTGCTTAAGGTACTGTTTCAATCCATAAAATAATTTCAAAAATCTAAAAATAAAGAATAAAAATTTCAAATATAATATTCAATATAATAAGTTTTTTCATATAAATTTTTCACTTCAAAAATTCATAAAAAAGTATTGTAATTACATATATTTTATCCATAAATAAGTTAATTATTATAGTAAATACACATACCAATTTAATTATAACATGTAATTCTACAAGTGAGAAAAAAAATTTTATAGTACATAGTTTTTTCTTGTAAGAAATATCTAATCATCAATTTGATTTTGGAAATTTCTTTTTGACATCTGCAATATTGCAATTGTTACCAATCAAAGTTTCATTGTTTGGAATTTCCACTAGCCCCCAGTTTGATTATAAATCAGCGATTTCATGCTTCGTAGTAATATTTTACTGAAGTTTGTCGACAGAAGTTTGAGATTATCTATAATGAATGGAACTTTTTTTTTCAAAATCAATGTAATCACCAAACTCAGTCTCAACAAGATTATCTATAATAAATAAAAACTTTTGTTGTCAAAATCAATGTTATCACCCAACTCTGTCTCAATAATACGATCTTCAAAAATGTATGAAATATTATATGTATGATACTTTGAAGGAGCTTAGCTAATTTGATTGGATGAATTCATAGTAAAAAAATCTAGTTGATTTCTACTTCCTAGCGCAATCAACTGAGACTTACCAATGATTAATTACTCCAAAACCTGACTCTTTAGAAATTTGTTTTAAATATACGAGAGTTTATCCGTTTGTTCTTATCCCTACATGGAGCTTGAGAAATCTACAACATTTTGAATGATTTGGGTTCATGAAAAGTAACATTCTAAAATAACAAAATTATTGAAGTAATGGTTATTACTTGAACCCGTGCAAGTGGATAGAACAGTCACAAAATTTACATAGTATGAAATAGTAGCTTTCTTTATTAATGATATTTATGTCTTGATGAATTTGAGTTGTAATATAATAATTATTTCAAATGTTTCATGTATACCATTATAACATATGATTATTTCTGGATAATTTAAAATATCTCTTGTAGATTTTAATAAAAATATATAGAGATCTAGGTGAAAGATCCCAAAAATTGGATATAGACCCCAAGTATTAAATACTGGTCAAAGTAATGACTAGTTATTGACTCTTCTAAGAATACTTTTAAAATAAGCAAAACTGCACATTTAAGCGAGCGAGAATGTAAAAAGACGATCATCAGACACATTGGACTGATTGTAGATTGGTGGAACTTTTGGTCTATAAACTTCTGGAATATCAATTGGTGGGCAGATTAGTAAGAAATACTTACTCATTTTATCTATTAGTCTAATGTGTGTCAACGGTATCAAGTGAACAAAGCCCATGTGAAGAAATTACACTATACTGGGATCCCGCCTTTGCACTCCAGCACAGGATTTTGAGAGATTTCCTCCAATCATCCTTGTTCGGCCATTGGACAGGCGTGATCTCGTTCTAGAACCATTGACGATATTGTAACATGACGTCCATTCAGATCCATTCAGCACTAAGGCATCTCTCAGCTGTATTCGACCTTCCCAAAATTTTCAGAAGGTTCTCTGACCTACTCATCGTAGCAAGAACATTCACATGAGAATAGAGGAGGAAAAAAAATCAACAAAGCTGGTTTATCGATCTGTCAATGAACTATTTGATTTCATTCTCAAATTTCCTCCGTGTAAACAAGACTTCTTTGGAGAGCTCACGTCTTCAAAGAACGACTCACGCCCCCGACAAACGAGGGCCTATTTTAACACAAATTTCCTACAATGCCAACTTCAACGAACTCTTTGGAAGAGCACCTTCTGCTCCCACGGGACCAAAACTCTAATGCCACGGGGCATTAGAAGACTCAGGCATGGTAATAATACACAGCATATGGTCACCGCCATCATTAGAGACCTAGGCTCTGCAAAGCCTTGTGCCTCCGAACAGCTGTGGTCTATTGAGCCGATGCAGCTTTGCAATTCAGTAAAACTAGTCGTGAGAGTAGTAAGGGAAAAAACTGTGTCTATTAGTAACCAGACTGGATCCCTTGACAAGGCGGCCATGGTAAATTGTCTGTCTATCATGAAGGCCTGACACTGAAGGAGGCATTCGACGGAAGGTGGAGACTGCATCACCACCTATTGTCAAGTGGTTTCACTTTGTAGATTCTCACTATCCAATTTGAAGTCGTAAAAGCTTCTTCATAGTACTCAAGGTCAAAGTGCTTGTTCCCAATTTCAGCCCCACGCGCCCTGTCCCATCTGCAGATGCGTCATTCAATGTATTAGCGTAGATCAAGCTCTAATGTCATGTTAAAATGTGGCATTACGTAGAGGTGTACTATGGAATATCCTTCGTAATCTGAGTACTGCCAAACAAGTTATTCCTTGTCCTAAGCAGTATAAAACTGAAGTCATCATTTCAAATCTGTGGAAATCCCGGTACTCCAGATACATAGCCCATAGACTTTCTTGCGTGTAGATAGAACCATGCCCGTTCGTATCCAGAACATATAGACGCATGGGGCTAATAGCACAACTGGAACCAGACGTAACCCAGCCTACAAACTCTATTTACAAATGGACACATCATATGTCTTCACATTTAAGAGATAAAAAATCGCACTCAAATGAAAAAATATAATTGAGAATTTTCTTCTGCAGATTTTGTTCAAATTTAGTGATTACAACGTCTGAGCCTAATGCTAAAACTTTGAAATACAAACAAACTTAACACAATATCCACTATTCAAATACTATCATATTGAATAAAATCTTAAGTCTACATGCAAGCTAATCGCAAGGATTGAACCACGCCGGCTTAATTGTGTACACATCCCACCAAACCCTTCACCTTACATAACGAACAAACCAAACCAACTGATTCCATCACATGCAACTTGCGACAACTTTTCGGATGTGTGGAAATTCCAGGCCTCCAGCATCATCACCCACAGGCTTCATAGCAGGCAGACAGAACCCAACATCTTCACTCTACGTACACATAGTCGCATGGAGCTAATCGCAAGGCTTGAACCACGCCGGCTTAATTGTGTACATTCCATCAGACCCTTCATCTTGAATAACGAACAAACCAAACCAACTGATTCCATCACATGCAACTTGTGACAACTTTTTCGAATGTGTGGAAATTCCAGGCCTCCAGCATCATCACCCACAGGCTTCATAGCAGGCAGACAGAACCCAACATATTCACTCTACGTACACATAGTCGCATGGAGCTAATCGCAAGGCTTGAACCACGCCGGCTTAATTGTGTACACATCCCACCAAACCCTTCATCTTACATAACGAACAAACCAAATGAACTGACTCCGGCACATGCAACTTGTGACAACTTGTGACAACTTTTCGGATGTGTGGAAATTCCAGGCCTCCAGCATCATCACCCACAGGCTTCATAGCAGGCAGACAGAACCCAACATATTCACTCTACGTACACATAGTCGCATGGAGCTAATCGCAAGGCTGGAGCCACGCCGGCTTAATTGTGTACACATCCCATCAAACCCTTCACCTTACATAACGAACAAACCAAACCAACTGAGTCCATCACATGCAACTTGTGACAACTTTTTCGAATGTGTGGAAATTCCAGGCCTCCAGCATCATCACCCACAGGCTTCATAGCAGGCAGACAGAACCCAACATAATCACTCTACGTACACATAGTCGCATGGAGCTAATCGCAAGGCTTGAGCCACGCCGGCTTAATTGTGTACACATCCCATCAAACCCTTCACCTTACATAACGAACAAACCAAAGGAACTGACTCCGGCACATGCAACTTGCGACAACTTTTCGGATGTGTGGAAATTCCAGGCCTCCAGCATCATCACCCACAGGCTTCATAGCAGGCAGACAGAACCCAACAGAATCACTCTACGTACACATAGTCGCATGGAGCTAATCGCAAGGCTGGAGCCACGCCGGCTTAATTGTGTACACATCCCATCAAACCCTTCACCTTACATAACGAACAAACCAAACCAACTGATTCCATCACATGCAACTTGTGATAACTTTTTCGAATGTGTGGAAATTCCAGGCCTCCAGCATCATCACCCACAGGCTTCATAGCAGGCAGACAGAACCCAACATATTCACTCTACGTACACATAGTCGCATGGAGCTAATCGCAAGGCTTGAACCACGCCGGCTTAATTGCGTACATTCCATCAGACCCTTCATCTTGAATAACGAACAAACCAAACCAACTGATTCCATCACATGCAACTTGTGACAACTTTTTCGAATGTGTGGAAATTCCAGGCCTCCAGCATCATCACCCACAGGCTTCATAGCAGGCAGACAGAACCCAACATATTCACTCTACGTACACATAGTCGCATGGAGCTAATCGCAAGGCTGAAGCCACGCCGGCTTAATTGTGTACACATCCCACCAAACCCTTCACCTTACATAACGAACATACCAAACCAACTGATTCCATCACATGCAACTTGTGATAACTTTTTCGAATGTGTGGAAATTCCAGGCCTCCAGCATCATCACCCACAGGCTTCATAGCAGGCAGACAGAACCCAACATCTTCACTCTACGTACACATAGTCGCATGGAGCTAATCGCAAGGCTTGAACCACGCCGGCTTAATTGTGTACATTCCATCAGGCCCTTCATCTTGAATAACGGACATACCAAACCAACTGAATCCATCACATGCAACTTGTGACAACTTTTTCGAATGTGTGGAAATTCCAGGCCTCTAGCATCATCACCCACAGGCTTCATAGCAGGCAGACAGAACCCAACATATTCACTCTAAGTACACATAGTCGCATGGAGCTAATCGCAAGGCTTGAACCACGCCGGCTTAATTCTGTACACATCCCACCAAACCCTTCCATCTTACATAACGAACAAACCAAACCAACTGATTCCGGCACATGCGACTTATGACAATTTTTTCGGATGTGTGGAAATTCCAGGCCTCCAGCATCATCACCCACAGGCTTCATAGCAGGCAGACAGAACCCAACATATTCACTCTACGTACACATAGTCGCATGGAGCTAATCGCAAGGCTTGAACCACGCCGGCTTAATTGTGTACATTCCATCAGGCCCTTCATCTTGAATAACGAACAAACCAAACCAACTGATTCCATCACATGCAACTTGTGACAACTTTTTCGAATGTGTGGAAATTCCAGGCCTCCAGCATCATCACCCACAGGCTTCATAGCAGGCAGACAGAACCCACACTACTCACTGTATGTACACATAGTCGCATGGAGCTAATTGCAAGGCTTGAACCACGCCGGCTTAATTGTGTACACATTGCATCTGACCCCCTAAACCTTAGAAGGTTTAACAAAATAATTAGATTGTTCTCGTGAATGGGACTTCAACTGACTTTTGAAAAGGCGTGGAACTTCCAGGCCTTCTGAAACCGCAGGATGTGCAGCAGTCAACCAGAACCCAACATACTCACCATGTTTACAACTAGACACATGCAATTGATTGCAAGGATCAAGACCAGTGCGGCTTAACTCTCTACATATTCCATCGGAATCTTTACTTTAAAACATCCAAAAAATCTGCATCAAGTTTAGCGTATACGAAGAGACAACCCGAAGCATTGCCATAGGCAATACAGACGTATGACTTTTTTTCCAAACAGGTAGGATCAAATCAAATCAAGGCCCCCGGTTTCATTACGCACAGGCTATTAGGCAAACAGACCAGAAATAAATCTTGACAGATAGAGCACACAAATACTTTACCACACAGTATAAACTGAACTATACGTATACGATGTTACTAGAGTCATCTTTTACATCAACTCATGTCCACTCCGAACACACTGACGAGTCAGCTAAAGTCCAATCTCCGAGAAAAAAAGGTGTACGTCGCATTACGGGCAAATACAATTCAATACATAATACCAAGAGTCAGTAAATCACAAATCAATGAACGTAACCATGAACTAGAAGCCAAGTACTTACCCTGGAGGCTTTCCGTACTCAGTACTGAGTTCTCCGAACCTGTAGTAACATAGCTTGTACCTGCACGAAAATATAAGAGTTCGTAAGATTTTAAAATCCCAGAATGAGTACTAGAAGTACTTCTTGCATACATGAGGTTTATCAATCTACAATCATTATTGCCGGCATGACGCTTCTACGGGGTTCAACTATGTCAAAAGAGTGCATACTGAACTTACATGAGACACTGAAGCATTTTTGGAGCTGCTTCCTTGTCTATTCTATATTCTCCATTGTTCAGGTAATCTGGCTCTTTGATGATGGGGAACACTCCCCCTCCAATCCGAACCATCCACAGAAACCTGCAGAGAAGATATGGTGAGCACGACACAAAAGGAAAAGGAAAGGGGTTCAATGAGAAAACATAAGGATCAAGAAGAAACTATATATTCAAATCTGATAGTTGAAGTATAAAAAATACAAAGATAAAGAATTTGAAAGATACTCCTATGTTTACAGCTTCAGACGTTCGGCATGACATGGCTTGACACATACTTGTTGATGTCATCTGACGAGTAACCTGTCACGCCGCCGAACACAACCAGCACATAGTCGACATCGAGAGATTTCAAGATCTGATAAGATTCATCTTCATATGACGACATTGCACGACCGACTGTTGCAATGTGAGTGTTGTTCCATGTATTATTGTCGACTATCACTGTCCGGTTTGCCATGGCAGTGATTTGATATCCATAATCCCACCAAGAGGCAACTTTAGCATCAGAAGGAGTATTGTGACGAAGCCAGTAATACGCTTCTCTGAAATCATCAAAGATCACACGATCTCCATTGCTCTGCCTAGCAGCCAGTACGATAGATGGAGAGGAGTAGGCCTCCGATGTAACCCAGGTACAATGAACAGCATACTGCACCAGCAGATACAGACAACCAAGTAGTAACACGGCAGCCCCCTCCTTTTGGAATGGAAGTAGTTGATCATGGCCACTCTGTACAGAAAACATTAAAAAAACATTGCACACTTCCATATCAGCCATCTAAAAATCTCACTACGCATGCCCTTCTTCTAGGGCCAAGTTATAATTGGTGTTACAGATTAATATTATAGAGACCGGAAGCATGCTGAACAAACATTCAAGGGATGCATACAAGTGAAATGAATTCAAATCTGTCTATTTGTGTTCCTCTAAACCCCAAATACGAGTCGAGTTCTCGAAAATATGTGTTCATAAAATATCTTGTGATTAAAATCACATCTCTATATCAATTCATGGGTCAGTATCACTTCACATACATATCCGTATCACTTTTGAATGAGCAAACTTTGATGCTCAATGTGGTGTAGATTTTATGAAAATAGACTCCTTATATAATATTGTGGAAAGTCACCATCCTTAATGAACTAGTGCTGAAGCTGAACAAAATCTAGCGAAGAAAGGATTATTGGCACACACACCTTGGCAGCTGCTTTCGTACTTCCAGAGGTCTTGGCAGAAGTCACTACCGTGGGCTTCTTTTCACGTAAAAGCTTCGCTAAGTTTTTCAATGTGGCCGACACAGCCACAGCACCGATGAGACAGACAGCCGGAGTGGCGACCAGAATAAGACGAACCATGACTCCAGCGAAGTAAAGGCTTGTCAAGCCATAGCAGAGAACAAAGATGACTGCATCAGTCAGTCGTTTGAAGCAAAAGTAAAGTCCCGCTGGGAACAATATGAGGAGAATGTGGAAGTCAAACATGAAAGAAGACCAGGAAGTTGGCTGATGTTCTGATACTGAAGCGATGATAGGAATGTTGTCCTTTGCGTAAGTTGGGTCCAGAAGAGAATAAAAGCGTCCAGTCCACGGAGAGATGTACCCAGTTGCCAGCCCTAAGCCAAGTCCCAGAGCGCCGACTGATCCTGCTCCAATGACAATCACTTTCAAAAAGGCTTGAAACAATTTAGGATCTACCAGCTGGGCCTTGACCCATTCTGCAAAGTAGAAGACCTGCAATATAAATGTTTAGTCAGAAGTCGGTGCTCTTGATATAAAGTGAAATAATTCGCAAACTCCAACCTACTTAGAATAGGATAGATGTCAAATTCTATCTTCCATCAGAAGGCATGATTAGATCAGGAATTTCAAAAACCTCCACGAATGCCATTTTCAACAGTACATCAGCACGTTAAGACATATCAACGATCTCATGAGCTTCACGACATCAGGTGCTATCGATTACAGCGACCTTGAAAACCACTGGAATAATTCTTCAAATTTCGAGAGACTGATTACCCTGGACCATCTCTTTTAATCGTCATATAGTAAGACATGTTAGACGGCCGGTTACAATCTAGGGCTGCAATTTCGATCTTCCTGACATCCACCGACTTCTGTATATATATGGCAAGTCGCAATCTTGGCATTTTCTTTCCACACCGTAGATAATTGGAAATAGCTAGCAACCTGCAACTAGAAATGACAGACGATAGCAAATTCGATGAAGTTGAGATAGTCTTGAAGGAAGAACTGTTTACCTGCATAAGGAAGAACACTCCCATAGCAGCCATGTGTTCACCAGACTGAACATGTTGAAATCCAACGAACCGGATCTGCATTGCAAGAAGCATTCCCAGAATGTAGAGTGTGTTGTAGGCGATGTAGAGTCTTTTTGAATACCTTCCAGTGACCAGGAGCACAACGACGTAGATCGGTATCAAGTTGATGATAAAAATGTATCCTCCCCATGCAGAAACCATGTAGAAGTATCCGAAGGCAGAGGCTACCGACCAAGCCAAAGACCCGGTATTAACAGCCTTGACGAACAGATAGAAGGTGAGTAGCAGAGCAAAAATCGCAACACCTTCATTATCATAAGATCCGGCAACCGAACGAGAGATGTAGCCCGGGCAAATCGCAATAAAAGCAGCGGCTATGAGCCCCGTACCACTGTCCCTCAGTTCTTTCCCAAAGAAGTATGCAACAATCGTGGTGTTGGAGGCGAAGAAAGGTGCAGTAAGAACGCACACGTCCTTGATGTGCACTGCAAAGCTGAGAGCCCTCAGACCCCAATACAGGAGTGCAGCTGTTACCATGAGCCCGGGATACAAAGTTCCTCCAATAATCCTTCCTAACGGATACCAGCTCTCATAATCGAACCAATTCCAGAACTCGTAAAAACCCTTTTGGGTGAGGTATAGGGTCGTTCGGTAATTAAAGTAGGGATCAAATTCGTGGATAACACTCTCGTATCGCAGGACACTGAATAGACGGGTGGCGAAGGCAAGAATGTAGATAAGAAGCAAGGCCGACACTCTCAGAAGCATCTCTTGCTGCTTGGGTTTCAGACGAAACGCCTTCAACTGAGTGAGCACTCCTTCTAATGCGGACATAATTCCAGCCGGCGGAGTCCCAATGGCGTGGTCTCCCTTTGCTGCCATTTTATCGGTCTTCGTACTAGTAATCGAAGTGGTCGAGCTCATTGTAAACCCTCCTCTCGGCTCGACTGATCGGAGCAAAAGAAGATGCCGCCCAGCACCCTAGACCCCGATACTGAACCGGATCAGCCAGCAGGGCCCAAGAACTGAAGGGCTGGGACACTTCTACAGCTTCGAGAAGGTGAAAACCAACAATTGGGTCTGATCGGCCCTACGTGCGTCACGAGAAAGACGGACAAGACTCATCTTCGGCCTCGCTGCCTAACATCAGCTCCAACCCCAAAACCCCGATCAATCGTCGACCTTTTCTTCCAAGACAGACAGTCAATCAATCACTCCTGTCTCGAGTGAGTCAGTCAGTCAGTTGCAGCAGCTGCTGCTGGTATATCCTTGAGGCTCTCTCTCGGCTCTTGGCCTCAGCCTGTTGCTGCACTGAACGCGAGAGATGAGATGGACGAGATGGCTTTCGTACCGCCCCCTCCCCTCCGACGCAGCCGACCCGTGTTTCTCTGTGATCAGACTGTCCAATGTACCGCCCTGCCTCTACTTCCGTTACGGCTGAAAGAGCGTCCGGCATGCTAACTAAAACTTCTACTAATGGTACTGTCCTCCTACTGCTACTGCTACTGCATGGAAACGGGGTCAGACGCCGAGACAAATAACGCTGTGAGACTCCGAAGTTGTGAGCAAATTCCTTAGAGGCATGGGACACAGTACTCCCAGATGCTCAGGGCTATATATGGCATGGCACTGCATTTGACCCCGTTGCAGCATTGACTTGTGATTCTCTTCCTGGCCCCCGTTCCTCCCTCCTGATCCGGGTCGACTATACGAGGCTACTACGACGGCGGGAGACGGAACCAAGTTCAAATAAGTCCTGCTGTGAGGTCCCGATGGTGGTACCTGTCGTGTGCTTCTCTTCTGCCTCGATTATCATGAGGTCCTTTGGCAGCCTTTTTACAGGCAATTTATCAGAATCTCCAGCGAAAATTGGAAGATGTACACCTAAGAATTATAACTATGTGTAATTTTTTAAGATTCATCACCATATCCTGTGATTTTTCAGCTCGTGGCCTGACCATTTGGCCTTCGCTCTAAAAAAAATCCTAGAGTTCGTGTTACAAATACTCAGTAATAATTAATGCTGAAGGTTCCTTCGTTTTCCAAATATTGTGTTTCATACTCATATTTTGGTTCATATCTGTTTTATTTATTCACAATTTTGAATACAGTTGTGCCTCGGTACTTAGTTCATTGGACCATCTCCTCTTTGAGCTGTACTTCTTGCCAAATGTAAGATATCTCATAAGATTCGTCTTTCGAGGTGATCACAACAAATGTGGTATTCCACCGTGTGTTCCGAAAGAATGAAGTAGAATCTGAGCGAAGGGCCCGTTCACTTCGCACTGACTGGCGAAGACTTGACTCTCAATGGCAATATTGTCATATGAATCATGTTTATGCATGCTACACATATGATCTTACGTGTTCTCATGTAATTTGTAACTTTTGACACGTGAAAATATAAGCGCTGGATTATTATGTTAACATGTAGTGTTGCTTTTTCATTTGGACACTTTTTACGATAAGATTATGCCACCTTTACACAGAAGTGACCTTCCATACCTCCAACAATGTTGATATTCTAATAAAGGGAAAAACAACCTCTTTTTTTTTCTCCATTCAATCGATCCAAAAACCCCTTTTTTTAATTTTTAAAAACTGTACGTAAAAGATCAACGCTTTACAATGAAAATCAAAAGAAAGAAGTAGACGCGCGGATAGAAATTTAACTTACACGCCCTAGTTTGAGACAATGTTCTAGTTTGATCCAAAAAATATGTAGCATCACAGAGTGCTTGACCGTCTGTAATTGAAAGAAATACAGTTTTGATTAGAGAGGTTTATTCTGGACCTCATGTTATCACCCCAGCCAGATTTGCATCCACAAGACAAGTGCTAGAGAGTCAATATGATTCATGGTGATTTAGCAGGAGATAAGCAATTTTGTGGTAGTTGGTTCTACGGTGACAAATATGGCTTTTGCTTTGAACCTCATGTGGTTGGATCGTGCCTTGAATTCCATATGTCTCCATCAAGTACAACTGAAGCCTGGACTGCGGGAAGTACAAGATCCAGGGTTTACCTCTTGTTGCCCGCTGTTTCCCAACCTAAGCGGCGTTACTGGGTCGGAAATGTGTTGAATGTTCCAATTTTATTTATCCGCTCCACCCCTGAACTGCGGAAGCCGTGATGGACAGTGTCATGGACCGAGTCGCAGTTGTGGGTACGAGGTACAGAGGATGGTCCCAGATCTGATGAAGTCCGAGATTTCTCAGTCAATCCGATGAAGCTCATATTTCATAGAGGTTAATAAGGAGTCTGTCCTCAAATATAGGTTGCATGCTCCTTCTCACAAAGGTCCTACATGCTAGGGTTATCCCAAGTCCGAGGTTAAGGGAAGCTGATTGGCTGGGGAGGTGGACAATAGTACTATACGACACGGTTTTCTTGTGTAAAACTCGTACAACTACACGTGCACTCTGTCAACACTAAGTTCAGGAAAGTATTTGCTTGATGTTAGAGAGCATTCGAAAAAATTATTCATGTTCACAAAAAGACGATGCGGAATAAAGACTTCAATCATTGTGCGTAGAAAATGCTTGCCATACAAACTAGGTCAACCTCGTGAAGAGAACACATGTAGAATAAAACATTTTGACTATAAATTTGTATTGAGAATTGTAATTTTTGGATTTTCCAGCACAATTTTGTTCCAAGTCATATGATCTGTAAAGTAGTACAGCATTTACATTTAGATGAATTCTTCTCGTAAATCCAAAAAATAAAAAAATTTTGAAAAAAATCTAAATTAAAAGAAAAATGTAACCCTTGATATTTTATATCAAATATTTTTTTATAAGATTATTTTATAAATTAATTTACAGTAAAATATAAGTAACGCATTAAGATAAAAGTATCACATATTCATGCTAATAACCTAGATTCAAAATAGTTGATTACTAGTTGATGTTATAATATTTTCTATAAATGTGTATGAAATATATAATACATCGAATTATTGAATCTCAAGGAATTAATTAACACAGGAATGAGCTTAAAATTACATGATGATGTTATTTGTATTAAGATTTTTGTAAAAAAATTAGATATTTGCATGATTTGTATGATTTTTTTAACATGATTAGCATCAAAAAATCAGTTGATGTGGAAAATGACATAGAAATTTCATTGTATCAAAAGTAATACATAAAAAGAACAAAATGAATTAGATATTTACAATATGAACGTGATATAAATCACCTATAACATCTATAGTGAAGTTCAAATGATACACAAATATTTTGTAACTTGGATGTTATTACACATGATTGTTTTAAACTTAATTTGAAGTACATAATAGTAATATGCAGTGCTAATGTTTCACTGTATAAAACATTTTCTACATAAACATGTCAAACCTTGCATAGATAGCTACATGTAAATTGATAAGATAAATTAAGATATTGTTTATCTAATAACTATCATTTTAAAATCTGAAATTTTTTATTGAATGCACAAATTTGAGTTTTTTAAAGCTTTATGATATATCAAACTCATAAATTTACTCAAATACACACTTTCATAATAATTTATACAAAAAAATTTAGTAATTCATCTCTTAATGAAGCTACATCCACAGTTATTACTAAGATTTTTCAGTGAAGAGAAAACTTGTATAATATTTTTCACTATAAATATATGATAAATCTAATCCATTAAATCCTAAAGATACTAGTCATAAATAATTAATTTTAAAATTGTGTTTTGGAATTTATAATTTTTTATACTAAAAATAAATATTACTATAAAATCGAAAGTTTTTTAATGAATTTTATTGTGAATTAAAATTAAATCATAATTCTAGTTAATTCAATTTCAGTGATGATAAAATTTATAAATTAAAGAAAATTTAATTATCAATTTGACAGAAAATTTATGTTGATTGTCAATATTTAGCAACTCAATCAAATTCAATTATTTTCAATATTTGATCTATAATTTCAGTTGGTTTTCAATTTTTTATTATGGATTTAACTACAAATATTTATCTTATACAATTTCAAATCCTACATCACTTATGTTTTTTATTTTATTTGAATTTTTTCTCAAAAAAACATCTACAAAGACAATCAATGTTTTGAGATTGCATGATTTGTCATTAAACATTAAAATCGATAACGTTTTATTTTTAAAAATGCTGCAGATTCACTTCATATTTTATTTGAAATGTGTGATGTTTCTCCTAACATTGATTGAATTGAAGCAATGTAATGTCTATTGAATCTCATCAAAAACATATTAAAAAAATTCACATATTTGCTTAAAATAATTTGGACATTATACTAGGTATTTACTTGATGGGACCCATCGGAACCTCAATTACTCATTGGAACGCTCTAAGATTTATTTTATTCCATGAGAATCTACCAACAATACACACGTCACGAATGTTCTAGTATCAACAGATGGTGCAAACACTGGCAATCTGTTACAACAATTGATTCTCTTGTTGTTGTTGTACGTCTAGTGGAACTGTGACGCAACATATGCCTAGTGAAGCTTTGTCACAACGATTGTGCGTCTTGACGTTGAACATAGAACGTCTTAAGGTTGGATTTAATGATCAAAATGTGAGCAACAATTTCTCACTGCTTCAGTTCAAGATTACTTCACTAAGTATACATCAAGATTGATCTGGAGCTCAAGATTATTTCATTTTTACTTCATAATAGTCTAAATGTATTCTTGACAGATTCAACTTTTTATTTAGCTTGTACGAATATTAATCTAAATTTGTTAAAGCTCACGGACACATCTGTTGAAAATAGTAGTTGGAACATTACGTTAAATCTTTGGGAGAAACGAATCGCAAATTAACAAAAATAGCATATTCTTCAACATCAACACAAAGATACATATCAAAGTCTTCTACTTAAGTTATACTGTTCATTTTGTGACGAACCTACTTGACTGAAAGTAATGGTTGGTTGAATTCAATTTCAAGATCTGAAATTGTTATAAAATACAATAAGTAATTTGAGGTTATGAAAGCTTGATGTAGCATAGATAAGAACAAAAAGTTTTATTGTTCAAATAGATCTGAACAACTTGTAGTCTGTAGATTTATGAAAAAGTAAACCTTTTATACAGAGGTCAATCAATCTTAATTTCACGTTTGTTATACTACACATCCATGCTCAGACGTGTATGACCGAAAGATGCATGGTCTGAAAATGAGTGTCATCTTGTTATCAAATCAATCATATCAGTCTATTTTATCATAAATATTAAGTATTATTTTAAAAAATCTCTTATATGTATGCGTAATTTTCTTATTTGTAGCAAATATCATGCTTTGATTTCAAGATTTGTCCTTGCTTTTTTGACAAAAATGACGTATGAGCTGATGTCTTTTTGCAGAATTATAACTTACAATAATGAGCTTGTAAGTCTTCCTTGCGATTCTTCTGAATGT